TTCATCAACAGATACCAGGTTTTATCAGCACACGGCTTCGTGACTGCCATCGTTGCTTGACGGAATATGCCTCATCAAACTTTATTCTGAAGTACGATCCTATTACTTGGTAGCACTCTTCTCTTTCACGGTGCAAAGTCGAGGTATATTAGATTTACGAGGAGCAAACGAGTACTCGTTGCTTGTTAAGATTGCTGTTAAGGAAAAAGCTGATGCGGTGGCTTTCAGAAAGTCGTTTCAGACACTGACCAATGTCGCAAGGACATCGATTGTCCTGAAAACGGGCTTTGCGTTGCCGGACAGTGTCGCTGCCCGAGAGGCTTCGTGCAATCTGGTGACTTCTGCCAGCCGACCGAGGCCAAATCGTTACTTGGCGGAGGAAATGATGAGGAATTGCGAAAACTTGAATTTCCGCACATCGACGTCTCAAAAGTTGAAAATGCTCAACTAGGGGCCAATTGCAGCGCCGTCGATCAGTGCATGGCCGCCTATTCGATGTGCATCGACGGAAAATGTGCCTGTCGTTCTGGTTATGATCGGCACGACGGGACCTGTCAGCCATCAGGTATCGCAGAGAAGTAACCTAACTTGATTTTTAGTGCATCTTAAAAGCGGTAAATGAATTATTAATGATACTGTTAAATACCCATATTGTGCCGATGGCCTAAATAACATATAAATGCCACAAACCTTTCAGTCCTTAACAGTTAAATACTGGATACAATCAGTGTTGTTTGGTTGAAACGAGCGTTGGTTGCAAAATAGCGAATTCAGTCATTGGTCAGCTGAATGCGCCTAAAACCAAAGAATCGCTACAAACTGTATTGAATCAGTAACAGCTTAAAGATACCTACATTTATAAAAAATCACGAAGATCAGTCTGTAGTTTCAATGTGTTCTTTCCTCACCATAAGGTTGCTGTCTGAAAACATTGTAGGCAATGATTCTCAGGCTTTAATGATTTAGTATTTTGGCCATTTTTGTCGTCGGATCATCTAAATAATGTTCAACCCCGTTACTTTACCCCTGTTAACGTTTCCAGCCAGATAACTAGAATAAACTGCCCGTTAGTTCCTCGCTAAGGATACTATGGCGTTTTTTTGAGAACGGAGGTTGATATTTCATTAATTTTGAAATTGTCATTATGAAGCAGGCCGCAATATGGGCTTGCTCGGTATAAAGGTAATTTTCTCCTTCATTTTCGATTTCCCAGTCACTTCGCTACTGGTCACACACCATCTACGAAATACAAATTTTGCTATTACAAGCGATACTATTTTATTCTCTTCCTGACTTGCAGAAAAGGCAAATCCACGCGTGGCATTATACGGAATTCGCTATCATGAGGAGCTCCATTGACTTACCGGGTCCTGAAAAGCACGTTGCGTAATGGAACAACCACTGTTCCGCGTGCTGGTTCTGCTGAACGCAATATCAATCAGACAGACCAGTTCTTCAAATTGGACAAATGATTTTTTCTTACATGAGATGAAGTTTTTGAACAGTTAGTAATCGATCTAACCAATCAACAGCAGCCTGTTACTGATTAGTAATAAGACTCCTGGACAGCTTTTGCTGTTTATAAGATCAATATAAGCCTTCTTTATAATCGACGGGTTCCCCAAATAAGCTAAGTTGTTCCACTTTCAGCGTCACGCCCCCTCAAATATTACAAACGGCGTTACTGGGACACGTCGATGTTTTCAAATCTTTTTCATATCGGTTACTAATTTTAGCACAATTAAACACTGACTTACGTACGAGTTCAAACCGTTACGAAACGAATTTTAAAGCCGAATCTAACCCACCTTTTAATCTCTCCCTGCTTACGT